CACACACACACACATATATATATATATATATATATATATATATATATATATATATATATATATACACATACATAACGTCCAAAAACGTCTTCCGCATTCTCACCACAACTCATCTCACTACACCGTACATCGCAATGTATTCACAATTAACTATTTACAAATAGAGCACCAAGCATATACAACGTGCATCAACAATGTTTATATCAATTCATAAACATGCATACATATACACATATATTCACACATACATGTATATTCAAGCCTTCCATTCATACCAATTATCAACAATCTACATAAACATCTACATTCATGTTTATTCACCATACATCATACACAGATGTCTACATGCAACTCACAGAGACCGACACACGACTCTATGCAGATGCAAATGCGGTACCGACTCATTTCAGCAGGTTCAATTGAAGAACCAAAATAACCATCGCTCACACCCCACATGGGCACATGAGGTTCTGCAGATTCACCGAGGAATCAATAAATAATCATCGCAACATACGAGGTTCTGCAGATTCACCGAGGAATCAATAAACAACCATCGCTCACACCCCACAAGGGCACACGAGGTTCTGCAAATCCACCGAGGGATCAATGAACAACCATCGCTCACACCCCACAAGGGCACACGAGGTTCTGCAAATCCACCGAGGGATCAATCAACACACGAATGCATACCATGATGCTTCACATGCAACATGACTCGTGACACTCTTGGAATGCATACATGTTTACCAACATACTCATGCAATCATCACATCTGTCGCATATATTCATTATGCATTCAAATATATGTATCACAAAGCATATATATATATATATATATATATATATATATATATATATATATATATATATATATATATATATATATATATATATATATATATATATATATATATATATATATATATATATATATATATATATATATATATATATATATATATATTCATCATCCATTCACACCAATTTTCATACATGGTTCACATTCACAATCAATCTCGCCATGCATCTCTATTTAATTCAAATAATGCACAAAATTGCCAAACGGCCACATTTCACACTTCACAAATCACAAACTCGGATTCACACCATACGGCTACCCACAACCCATATAACAACATATAATTAGTCATCTCAGACAAGGAATGATCGCAACCAAACCACACAATCGATCCACGAATGGAAAGCACAAGGAAAGAAAATACGTTGCTGTGTTTGCTAACCTTCGCCTGGCGAACCTTCGCTACTCCGCTCGCCTGGCGAACTTGCCAGCGAAGACCACTGGGATTTATTCTGGAATTACTCGCTAGCACACTCGCCTGGCGAACCTTCGCCACTCTCATTCGCCTGGCGAACTTGCCAGCGAAGACAGGGTGGATGCTACTGACTTGGTTCGCTGCTGCTCGCTGGGCTTCGCCCGGCGAAGCTTCGCTGCCATTCGCCTGGAGAACCTGCGAACTCAGAACTCCCATGGCTGTCCAAAAGCCCAAACCTCACAAACCGACCGATTTAATCCAAATCAGTTCCAGTAGTACAACCCACTCATCACCCGACTATACTACACCGTCTATTCCAAATTCTAACCGATAAAACTCAGTTTTTACCGATTAAATCAACTTCCGACCTAGAAATGGAAACATAGAAAACAATCCAACAAATCCAATCTAGCACATACATGATCATACACATTATGAAGATGATAAAACTTCTCACCCTTACCTGATTAATCGCAAGCTAAGGTTGATTCTTGATGATTCTAGGTTTTGCTCCACTTTCTCTTCTTTTCTCTCCTCCTCCTTTCTTTCTCTTGTTTTTCTTCTTCTTAATGTTTCTATCTTTCTCTATTCTCTCTATATCACATATTCTATTTCTTTCCTCCCAAATTCTTTCCACACACTTATCAATTAATTCTCACAAAATATACTTAATATTATCACTAATGCCCAAAATACCCCCAACCTATTTTTACCCGAAACTCTCAAAGTCGGCAAAAATAGCTCAATATGTAAACATAACATATTATCACACAAATTCCACATAAATAAAATAATCACTTAAATAAACCAAATAAGGACTCAATAAAAAAAAAAGGGAATTCAGAATCGGGGCGTTACACATACTGGCTTGTTCATTTTATGATTGAGTATTGACCATGAGTAACATATCATTTGAGTTGTTTCTCTAGCATGTGCATATTGCACTTCTTCGTTATCTTTCGCTCTTAATTCCTTCTTTCTCCGACAATCTCGAGCATAATGACCAAATCCTTGACAGTTGTAACACTGCACCTCTTTCATATCAATTTTCTTCCTTGAATACTTATTGGTCATGCCTTTCTTGATCAAATCATAATGATTTTTCTCTACTTCACATTTTCTTTTCCAGACTTCTTGATGAATCTTGCTTGCAGTGTATGTTCTACCACTTTCTCCCTATTTGAGTTTCTCTGCTTCTATCTCATCTCATGAGCCTCTAATGAAGCTTGAAGCTCTTCAAACTTTATCTCAACTAGGTTCTTGGACTCTTCGATATACACTATAATGTAATCAAAGCTTACATTCAAAGATCTCAACACCTTCTCAATCTTCTACAAATCATTTATTGATTCACTATACTCCTTCATTTGGTTAGTGAGTAACACTAATCTAGAGAAGAAATCAACAACTGATTCATCTTCTTTTATCTGTGTTATCTCAAACTACTTTCTCAGTGTCTACAACTTCAACCTCTTCGGTTTTTCATCTCCACCATACAAGTACTTTAACTTGTCTCACGCTTCTTTTGACGTCTCTACTTCAACGATCTTCTTGAACACATTCAGATCCACACATTGATGAATAAAGAAAAGAGTTTTTCCATCTTTCTTTTGTTGTTTCTTGTACGCAACCTTCTGAACAACATTTACATTCACTTCCAACACCGGTACTTCATTACTCACAATTTCAGTCACATCTTGAAATTTAAAGATGGCTTTCATTTGCGTAACCCACCTCTCGTAATTCTCACCTTTGAAAACCGGTCGATTTGTAGGAAATTATAACGATGCTCGTGGATAGTAATTTATCGGAACAATTAGAGGTTTCAAGAATAATGATGAAGAAGAAAAGAGAATAAGAGAGAGAAACTATATTATGAACAAAGAATTTTACTAAGGTGAATTTACTAAGGTGAAAATAACAGGGCTTAGATTTACATCGTCACTTGTATATATATGCAACCAAAACACAACTCACTAACTATAACATTAGACTCTGTCGAATACATGGTTACATAATTCAACAATTATATGTTATATTCATATGATGTATTCGTCAAAGTCTAATGCAACAAATCTTACTCTACTACCTTCGACTAAATTATCTAAAACTGCTTCAACTCTATTAAACACAACAATGCTGAATAAAAATTTCCTATTAAAATCATGAATTACTAGCTTTTAACATGTTTTGACTTTAACTTTCCATATAATCTTTTTTTTTTGTTGAAATTATTATATCTTTGGGGTGTGTTATGCAATCTTCTTGTTGGTTATAAACCAAACATAACTCCTTATCATATGTATGCACCAATTGAACTTGACGTTTGACTGTATTTTACATTTTAAATTTTATATATATTTTTAATTTTAAGTGAATATATATTAACCTTTAAGTTTATAATAATAAACAGGTGGGATTTGGTGTTATGACACTTTGGTGTCAATTGATCTTATTCATATATATATATATATATATATATATATATATATATATATATATATATATATATATATATATATATATATATATATTAAAAGGTATGGACATTACATCTTCAGCTTGCTATTTTGATTCTTCCCTTAATGTTAGCCTCCTTTGAAAGTTTGTTGAACAAATATCATAAGCATGTGGTGTTGATTTAAACTATCAAAAATATCTTTCATGAAAACATTATGTTCAAAGTCATCCACATACTCTGCGAAGGAAATCAAAATGTTAATTTCACGTTTAAGCTCAATACTTAACTCTTCTCCAAGATTAAGCAATATCCTTGTAGCGGATGTTGTGAAAACTTTTCTTTTAAGAGCTTAATTCTTTTTTTTTTTTTTTTTCTCTTAGCCCGATTCTTCTTAACTTTAGTGAGATAAAAAAAATACACCATTTCAAATATTATAAAAAAATAATAAAAAATGATGATAACAAATTTGTGTAAAGTTGACTATGACACATAATTAAAATGAGAGTCATTCCACTAAAATTTGATTTAAAATTAAAAGTAACATACCAAATCTCTAAAATTTTACTTCAAATTCAAAGTGACGGTGACATGTCATAAAAATAACCATGACATCTTTAAAATTTGACCTCAAATTAAGAGTGGTGGTACGTCATCAAAATTCAAAATAACTATTAGATTATCAAAAGAAGAATTAAAATCTCAAAAATTATCAAATTGATTTTTAGATTAGGAGAAGAATTAAAATCCAGAAAAAAAAATTTAAATTTTAAATAAAATTAAAATTTTGAAAAGAAAAAGAAAAATCAGATTTGAAAATAGAACAACCAAATTTTTTTTAATAAAAAAAGACTTATATAAATTTTTTATTCTTATAAGTTAAAGTATTTTTAATTTTCGTCTTTGTATTTTTTTTCTTAAAAATAATTTTTAAATATTAATTTTTTTTTATTTTAATCTTTAAAGTTAAAAAATATTTGCGAATTTTAATTTTAAAAATTAAAATCAAATTAAATTGGATATTTAAGAATTTTATAAAGAAAAAATTGTAGTGACAAAAAAGCAAAAACACCTCAAATTATAGAGACAAGACAAAAATAATGAAAGGTTACAATTATGAAAGATTTTTTTTTGATAAAGGAATAGAAATGAAAGAGCATTTTTAATATTTACGACATTTGGTAAAACCGCTAGAAGAGGGTTTGTACAGGGTAGCTAGCAACAACGATTTTCTTTTGAAGAGTGAAGAAGAAGAAGAAGAAAAGCAGATGGGTAAAGGTAATCCACAGAAATCAGGAACCGGCGGCGACCTTCACGCGGCGGCGAGGTCCGGCGATCTCATATCAGTTCAGTCAATTTTGATTTCAAATCCTTTGTCCGTTAATTCCAGAGACAAGCATTCCAGAACACCGTATCCTCGTTCCCCTCTCTTTTACTATATTTTAATTATCAACCCTAACATTCTCTTTTTTCCTTCTGATTTACCCTACATGGTAGCTTCCATTGAAATTCACTTGCTTTTGTTATGGAATGCTTACTTGATCCTTAAATTGAAATTTTCTTGTATGAGAAGAGGTGTGCTTCATGTTTTGACTTTGTGTGTATGTGGATATTAATGGTTGAATATTTATTTAGCATTGACATATTGTTCTGCAGCATTTTACATTATTGTGATTTGGGGAGAATTGAGAATAAGGATGAAAATCTTATTTAAGTGTGGCGAAACGGGCCTGGATTGCGGAGCAGACCAAGGTTTTAGTCCTGCCCAACCTCTAGTATGTTTATCCCGATATTTTGCGGGTGCGGAATTAACATAAAATTTTGCAATTTTTAGACTTTAGAGATGCAATGCTCGCGGGTCTGTACTGCCTTCATTTTTTTTTTGCAATGCGAACCAAAAGTTTTAGGCTCACGTTCTCTAATATGTTCATCCGATTTTTTGTGTGCGCAAACATGAACATAAAATTTTGCAATTTTTAGACTTTAGAGGTGCAATGCCCGCGGGTCTGTCCTGCCCTATATTTTGCGAGGCGGACCAAGGTTTTAGGCTTGCACCCTTAATTATGCACGCCCTACCCTATTTTTTGCGGACTTTTGTGGAACAGTTTTAAACGGGGCTTAAATGGGGTGGACATGCTCGTTTGCCACCCCTTTTATCTCAAAAGGAAGTAGTAATAGGGTTTTCCTAGGGATGAGCCTGTTGCTAGCATTGTCCTTTGAGCTATGTTAGTAATACACTCTCTAACACTGTCTTCAACATAGACTCTCTAATTGTTTGAAATTCAAATGGGTTCTACTAAATTTATGCAGGAGCTTATATGATTTAGTGGGACCCGTTTGATTTCAACCAATTAGAGAGTTGTGTTTACAAGAGTGTATTCACAGCACTCCTCTTGCGTTCTTGTTTCTTTAAACATGCCACTTTGGATCATAGACTATATTTTAGATTTTTGTTTTTAGGGGAATTGGAAATAAGGAAGAAAATTTTATCTGGGTTAAGTAACCGAGCTTTTCTTGGTAATTCTTGAATTGCCACATTATTTCTTTAACAAGCAACTGTGGTTCATAGACTACATTTAGCAGCATTTTCTGGGCAAACTGAGGTGGTCAGTTATCTATGCAAGAACAAGGCTGATGTTGGTGCTTCCGCTATGGATGACATGGCCGCAATACACTTTGCGGCACAAAAAGGTCATTTAGAAGTTGTTAGGGCTCTGGTTTCAGCTGGTGCCTCTTTCAAAGCTGCTACTCGTAAAGGCATGACCCCATTACACTTTGCTGCTCAAGGTTCCCATCTGGAACTTGTCAAGTATTTGGCTAAGAAAGGGGCAAGTCTCAGTGTCAAGACAAAGGTGGGAAAAACTCCGTTGGATCTTGCTACTAATGATGAAGTCCGCACCTTTCTGCAGGGATTTGTAAAATCAGATAAGAATGGAGAATCGAGAAACGGAGATAAAGCTGAAGAATCTGATCCAAAACAAAATGAAGGATCCAATCCAAAGGCAGCTGAAGAATCTGATCCAAAAGAAAAGGAAGAATCCAATCCAAAGGCAGCTGAAGAATCTGACTCAAAAGCATCCTCCTCCTTGGGATTCAAAAGTGACGAACCTTCTACCGTTGCTGTTGATGAAGAAGAGGGAGAAAGAGGGAAGAGGAAGGTTAATGAAAATGATGCAACAGAAGACTCGAAACCAAAAAAGGCAAGAGTTAAACTAAGCCACCTTCAAAGCTCAGATGATGCTGAAGAAGAAGACAACTGAAAACTTGTAGGTTAGAGGCATAATAGAATGGAATTTTTGTTCTCATAGCTTGTAATAGTATCTGATTTATAATTTGTAATCCCTTTGTTGGGTTGGTAGGTTGGACCATCTATTGACAGTTTAATGAGACTTTTTCTGAATCAGCACAATTTTATCATCAGCACTGTGTTTGCATATTGAGTTCCTTTTAAGCAGTGACCATGACTGTATGATGTTGAATACTAACTATAGCAGTGCTAAATTCTAGTATTGTGATGTGACTTTTTAAACAAATTGTTATGTTCCATAATTTACACCAAATTGTGCACTGCATTGAGCAAGGAAATAAACCAAGACGATTCTGATTATAAGTCATAAAACCTTGTAGGTCTAGCCAAAAAACCCGACACATAACTGGAGGAAAATAAATCTCTACTTTCACAAGCCGCAAGACGGATTCTGTTCGAATAAGTAACATACATTTACAAGGCTGAGCAGCTATTGAACTACAATAAAATCTTGCCGATCAAAGTTCTTTACAACTCACTCAATGTCACTTTATTTCCTAAATATTTTTTTCAATTCCTTTTCTGAGCCTAGTTTATGATAACAAATCATTTGAAAAGAAGAAAACATTTCCTAAAACTGATTCTATTGTATCCCATTGTATAAACTACAAATCAGAATGGTCTAAATCTCACTGCAGACTGCAGAATTAACCATTCAAAATTCAAAATATATTCAAAAAAGGGTGCTGAAACTTTCAATGGGATCTAACTCTTCCAGCATGGAAGCTGCCTGGAAGCAGTCCGCAGCATCACCGATTCGGCCATCGTGCTTGTGAACCACTCCCAAGTAATACCAAGCCATCCGGTTGGTTGGTTCTATTCTAAGCGCATCAGACAGCATGCTTCTTGCAGCAGGCAACGCCTTTGTACCCATTTTCTGAATCAACGCACTCATTAAGATTTTGCTGGGAATGTGGTTGGGTTCAATTAGTACAGCATTAATAGAAGCATTGAGAGCTTTTATATTCTGGCCGCGCCCTTCGAACAAAATACCTGATATAGAACCATACAAAAGAGTGTGTAAATATCATACATGTTGATAATTCTAAGCTATTATCTTCATCTTTAATGTTTTATATTCTGGCCTGCAGGTTTGGATTGGTGGTGAGATCGGCAAAACCACGGCTCCATCATGATTTTGCCAAACTCACTGTCAATCCAAACACGCATGCGTTTCAATTGGAATGGCAGAAGGTGGGAGGCATAAATTCAACATGCTACAATTTTTTTGAGATTTGAGAAATGATTTAGCCTTGCCTTCAGTGTGCAAAATTGCTGCAGAGTACTCCTTCAACTCCCTGGCCTTTTGCAAACAGATTTCAGCATCCTTCCAATGAGAAAGACTGGCATACAAATTTGCAAGACCGTGCCAAATATCGAATTCATTAACTTTATCATCTTCCACCTATAACGAGTTGACAAAATGAAATAAGATCGATTTTGCAATCAGTAATCAACTTAAATATCTTATTACTTCAGAAAAACTTTGGGAAGAATCTTACCTTTGAACTAATTTGGAAAGACCCTGAAGATTTCCTCTGGGCTTGAACTAATGCAAGAAGGTAGCGATAAGTTTCAATAGCATCCATCGGTTTTAATTGGGAGATCTTCAGCTTTGCTTTAAGCTTAAGAAGAGACCCCTGCTCCCATCTTGCAGTCTGATCTAAACCAGCATCTGTCACCACTTCAGCTTCCGGAAATCTTTGCTGTGCAGACAAAATCAGAGCAAGCAATATCCAAGCTTTGATTACAGAGCCACCGGTTTCATTGAAGAAATGCCGCGCGGAACGCAAAGCCATAGTCAAATTTCGATGCTTTGCATACTGAACAGCCAATTCAAAAATCAGATCAGAATTGTTTTTCTCGAATCTAGTTGCCTCCTCCAATGACTCCAGGGCTTTGGACTGAAGCCGAGACCTCTCGAAGTCCGAGGAAGCAACCTTAGCCTGCTTTCCCAGACAAAGTCCTAACATCCGAAGAGCAACACCTTTTAAATGCTCATTTGGACCGCGAGCGTTACTGAATGCTCTCTGTGCATGGCCGACTCCCTCGCCAGCAATATAAGGATCCTCGCTGCAGATCTTAGCAGCTAATAATAACGATGTAAGGTCATCTGGTCGTTCGTGTTTGTGCAACGACTTTCTTAGCAGATTCAAAGCACTGACATTTTGTCCGGCTGCAAAATGACATAAAGCTATAGAATTCCAACGATCAATACGATGGTATACTCCAGGCATCAAGTCTTCAAATTGCTTTGCTAAAAGAGAAGTTTGGCTACATATAGAAAATGCAAAAGTTAAGTGCTCCATGATTGAAGGATCCCATTTTATCTTACCATAACAAAACTTTCTTATAAGAATCATTAAAAGCAGAATCGCCTCTTCGAGATTATTTTTAGGCACATAAGAACCGTCAATCTGAACTGCTAAACTGGGTGGACTTGCCTCCACACCACTGTACAGAAGAAAAACAACAAACGATTTTTGAATTCTTGAACAACAGTCATTATCAAGGTTCCATTGACTAAGAAGCGCCCGCCTATAAGCAGAGATTGCCTCATCGTAGAAACCACCTTGTTTCCAAAGCTCTGGAAGGAGCTCTACTGCATGGCTGACTATCTCTTGCAATTTGTTGTCCACTTGAAAATCAAGTATACCCTGATAAAATATCTTCTCAACGGCATCAAGAATCTGTTTACAGTCATTAGCAGCTTCTGCAGAATACAATTCGAAGAAGTATTTCAATGTTTTAGATCTAATTTAGAAATATCAAAAGTAGCATCACACCAGTGACATAGACACGAACATGAAATTGACACGGGTAATGATTTTAAAATTTTAAAGTGATTGACTAGACTAGAACATGTATCATTGTCGTGTTGATATTAGACTCTGACACGTGTCAGACACAAGACATGCCTTCTATCTGAAGTGTTAGTGCTACACAGATTACTACTATAGAAGGAGTCATTGCCATTCAGAAGAGAAAGTAAAATTAAAGTAAACAACATGTGGAGAACAATTTTCAAAAACAGTCAAGAATGTTTTTTATATTGACATCTTTTTTAGGGAAAAAATCGATACCAGCAAATTTCCTGAGTTTTTGTTGAGACTTGGATTTTAAGTAGATGGCTTCAAGCACCAAACTAGCAGCATGTTGAGAGACTGAAGAAGGTGATTCTGTGCGAGGGCGGCCTTTTTTGACGGGTGGTTTTTCAGACAAGGAGGGTTGCAACCGCTGGATTGCAGCTTGGAGATCAATTCCATCAAAAACACGAAGAGCACCTTCTACATTACCTCTCTGATACTCTAACTTCCCAAGAAGAGCCCTTGCTTCCTGTTAAAGTTTAAAAAATCATCGGCCAAAACTTAGACATCGAGTCAATTTATCCACAGATACGATGTGGAAGATCTTGAGAAACAAATCTTTCAGGTAGTTTGCATCAATGTAACATATTTGATCCAATCCAACTCATAAACATGGCAGGCACAAGCTAGCAAACTATGTGATCATGAATAAACTGACCTCGAAATTGAGTGACAACCCTTCTCGCAACGAAGATTCTGCCTCTTGAATATTTCCTTCATCAAGCTTGGCCTCAACTTCTGAGGTACTCATGCTGCTTCCATTTGCATGAAACTCTCTAACTGACAACCTTTCATGCTCACTAGACTCCATGATTCATCCCCCCACTAACTTCATAAAAAAACACTTTTCACACTTTCTTGTCCCTTTGACCCTTCAATGGAACTATAAATTCATCATTCACATTTCAAAAAATCTAAACAAAATTCCACAAACGTGCGTTTGGGAGTTTCACAATCACAAAACAGAGAGAAAAAAAAGTTTCCCCATTTCCCACGGTAACGGATCCAAACAATGCCTAATAGAATTTCAAATATCCAACAAAACTCACTATTCGTGTAATGAGGTTCCATAACAATGCAAAAAGAATCAAACTTTGGAAACAAAATTTAAAATTGTAAACATAAAATCATTGGGTAGAAAAAATTTGCAGATCCGAGAAACCTGCTTTGAAAAATGGAAGAATGAAAAGGAAAGTAGAAGAAGAGACAAGATTTAACGACTTACCAAAGCAACGTGGCCTCAGAGCAATGGTGAGAGATGCAACAGTGAAATCAAACAAGATCTAGGGACCCTTCATGTTGATCAGCATTTGCATCGAAAGAAGTTACCCTATGTTGTTGTTTATGTTTATGTTTGTTTTTGTCTTTTTTGAAAAAAAGACAAAATACAAAAGGAACAAAGAAGAGTGGTGGGTGGTTTGAGGTCAACCGCTATCACAGCACAAACGCAAAATGTAGTGAGAATATGTAAAAATGGAATGGGAAAAAGTTAAATATAATGAACTTTGTATTTGATTTAGCCATTTACAAATAAATTGGTAATACTAATTTGACTATGAAAATTGTGTCAAAAAAGAATTAATTAAATTATAATTTTTATAATTTTTTTATTAAATTTTACAAATTAAAAAATATAGAATGAAATCATGATATGTTAATTAAAATTGTTATGGGGTAAATATAATATAATTTGTCATTTCTACGTTGAGATACACAAAAGAACTTTGTGGTATGATATATAAAGAGTGGATTAATTACTCTGATGTCATATATTGGCTCGATTCATGATAAGAGTTGTTGAGAATATCAATTTTAGTGCTGATGGTGATTATTAGGGAGTTTAATGAGAATAATGCTTTGATAGAACTTAAGACGCACGAGGATAGATGTGAAATGTGAAAATAGTGTGTAGAAAATTTGATGCAACCTAATAGGATGATCACCTATGGCGACTACAAGCACCAACCATTTTAGTGGAAGGGTTGACAGTATTCAACACGTGTACACTAGTGAGGTCAATATGGTCTTGATTAGTAAAGAACTATATATATTCCCCATTGGCAACGAAAGTGGCGTCTTGCTGAGTCATGCCATGAGGTTGAGATGGTCAATTTGACAACGCATCAGGGACTAATATAAGAGTTCTTCTACATATATACTCATGTCATTTATGACTTGGAAATGTGGATCATGTTCCCAATTGCACCTAAATATTAGGGCATTTATCAAGAGGTTTGAAATTATATATAGGAGTTTGGAGATAACACTCGTTGTAGGTATCTTTTCTCATTCTATAGCAGCAAGGGCGTAGAAAAGGGCGACAAATGTCTATAAGTGCCCAAACCAAAAGGGTCATGCTCACTCCATACTCCCTAAACTATAAAAAAATGGAAAGATATATTTGTGCATGTATGAGGAAAAAGAAAGTACTTTATAGTACCAAATGGTTTGACCTATGCTATTTACTTTTGCTAATATATTAAATTTTTTGCATATAGGATTTCCCCATGTCAGTTTCCAAGAAGAAGTCTTAGGTACAGAAGATGAGGGTTGGACGAGGTAAGGCATAATGCAACACCCCAAAGAGAGACCCATCCGACCTGATTACCCGAGGTGCAAAGAAGAGGAATTTGTGGATGAAACTCCTATAATATTTCGTAACCTATTATGATTGTGAAGTTGGAGGCTCTTGAAAAGGCATGGTTTCCTCCCCGGTCTAAAAAATAAAAGGTTGATGTGGATATCATTGACTTAGAGACAAACACTTCAAAAGATTTTGAAGGCGTTCCCTCACAAGGAGCAACCTCACCAGCTTCTTTGGGGGGTAAGGTTGTGCCTTCACTTTAGAATGATGACTTCAACGTTGAAAACTTTATGCGCGAACATCTTGACTTCCCCAACAACCTCAAAAATTGAGGGTCAATTAGGTGCGAAAAAGCTATATAAAATGGTGGAATCATAATGGAGTTGAGACAAGCTTTGTTTGAAACCCAAGTTGATGGAAGAAATATATTATAATGGAGTTGTCGAACTGGGTTCCATTGTTTGAGACAATGCATTTTGGCTGCCCAAATTTGTAAATTATTTACTTCTAATAGAAGTGCCATATGTCGAAGGCGATGTCACGACACTAATATCTGAATTGATATCAACTAAAGAACATGGTAATAAACACAATAAGAAAGTAGTATACAACACAAGTAATTGTTAACCCAGTTCGGTGCAACGTCACCTACGTCTGGGGGCTACCAAGGCAGGAAGGAAATTCACTAAAACATAATTAGTTTGAAGATTCTCAGTAAACAACCTCTAGTTTACAATCTTCTCACATAATCTTTACCCGTGCAATTTCTACCTAGGACTCTCTTAGATATGAGACCCTTCTCACTTTCCTTCAATCACAACAGCAGTGATAAGACTTAACACTAAACAAAAGAAGACACACTTCAAAAAAAATACTCGATCTTGCTTAAAAACTTTAATCAAGGACAGTACACTCTTGCTTAAAAGCTTAAAGTGGACACTTACAACCCAATAAACTCATTATAGTTCAAGCATCTAAGTGATGAATGAATGGCTCACAAGAACACAATACAACCCTAATTCTTAAGCAATGCAGACCCAGAACCCTAGCTTCACTGATCTTCAGTTTGGATTGACAAGTCTTTATATATAGGACGATCTTCATCGGCTTAGGCATTAGCAAAAACCAAATCAGATTTAATCAAATTAAATTAAATAACTCTTCAAGACTTCTCACGATTAGAGGCATGAAAATAGCAAAAAAGATTCCACAATTAGCTATACTAAATATGCAACAAAATACTTATGTTTCAAATAAATTTTCCACCATGATTTTCACCAGCAATCTCTCATCAGAAAAACACAAAGGATTGCAAACAAAACGTAACAAACAAAACACAACATTTTGAACTGAATGTTGTCTAGTTATGTAATCATATGTTAGGACATCAGTCTTGACATCATGAACTGAAGCTCTACAACATCTGAAAAACTAACCTGCAATGATGTTTGACTCATATGTCAAGACATCTTGCACAACACATAGCTACAATAACCTGTTTTAGGAAAAATGCAACCAACGTAGAACTTGTTGTTGCAACTGCGAAAAACAACCGGCGGAAAAAAAACAGAAGAGTCTACACCGAACGTTATCTATCCCGAAGAAGGGAAAGGAAACGATAGAAGAAAACCTCAAAGAAGGGAGAAGAAATGGTCATCACAACCAAATCCTGGGTTCGGGAGTCGATTACGCGAGGGAAAAGTAGTAGCACCCCCTTGCATCTGTTGTACTCAACGAGATCCATGCTTGTTATCTAATCAAAGAGTGTGTTATTTAAAGCTCTATTACTAAACGGAAACGAAAGGGAGGGGAAAAAAAAGGAGACTCGATAGAACTTTGCCGCCCTATGCCTACGTATTCCCTCGTGCAATGGGAAATTCAGAGTCAACGTAATTCAGAGGATTATGGGTGATGAAGGAAGGTTGCTCGCCAAGACATCATCGTCTTGTACCTATGTATCCTCATTCGGACGAGAATAAGGAAGTCAGAGTGTTAGTAGTTCGTGGTTACGATCTCATATTGGTTAAGTGTTTTTTATGAGCGACGTTAAGTTTGTGTTCCAGCAGTTAGGGTCGATGCCTGGTAGAACGGAAATAACGTGCTCTTTTTTGAAAATGAGTTTGACAAACAATCCAGAAGGATAAAATGATTTGAATTTGTTTATGAGTTTTATAGAAGTGAATTGATTTGATTTGAGATTCATATTGCACTAAAGTCTATGATATAGGAGCGAATGTGTCGCATGCTCGCCCCCAGACGGGACGTACGCTAAACATTATAGACGAAGCAAGGAGAGACCCGTCACTCATCATTTCCTATATACTTAAGGCTCATGGTGCATTTGCTCATCGTATTTATTAAGTGTTTTAATGTTTTTTTTGAGATGAGAAGAAAGAGGACTCAAAGGTTGAAAAGAAAATAACTAAGGGAAACTGATTTCTAATATTGTCATACACAATGGTCCTAAAGTTGAGATGAAGAAGGAATTCTGCTTAATATTATCATGCAAGAAGATATACCTAAGGTTAAGGTTTAAAAGGGACTATCTTAATTGTTATCATGCAAAGGATTGAAAGCCTAATATCTCTCTTACCTCCAATTTAATCAGAAATTAAGTGGAGCTAGGAATCCTAAGGGATCATGTGAACAAATACAAGTAAACATTACACCAATAAATCACAAATAGAAGCAAACTCAAGACTTAAAAGAAAAGAAAGGTGAAAGATGGAGGAAAAGATGCAACATCAAGTAACCAAACAAAGAAGTTCAAACAATTTGACATAAGTACCAAGCAATGCAAACATTATGTTAAATCACACAATATAAACATAAACACCATGTCAATATAACAAGAATGTGCACATACTTAAAACTAAATTCAAAGATGGAAAGTCAAAACAATGAGGCAAAAAGGTTCAAGGCGTTAACAATCAACAAGCAAAGTGAAATGAATCCAAACAAGGTGAAAACCAATGTAGGGAAGTAGTTATGTCATATTGCATTCACCTCGTGTTAATGAGCAAAGAAGGAGCAAAAAGGTTCAAGGCGTGCATCATATCCAAACTCAATCAAGTGTCAATCAAAAAGCCATGTAAAGATACACCTCAAAAGGCTAAACATGTGAAGTTAGGAGATGAAATCGTGTAGGGGAAGTAGCATATATGAAAGGATCAATCCAAACTCAATTTCAAAGTGTCAAGAAATAGACATAAGCATCACATCAAGAC